GAGTTTCTGGAGTGCTCAAATAAACGGGCCTTTTTCCCGAATGCTCCTCTGGTCTCCTGCTCGTGAGGGATTCATTACAATATCGTAACATGGCTTAGATTTCTAAATAAACATTCACCTCGTCGCTAGATAGACCTACTCCTGAAAAAGTCGTGCGCAAGGCTTTTTGTCCCTACAAGGCCACAGTCATTTACCCGAAAGGAGGAATGAGCGAGTGAGCCCTGCAATCTAGAATTTGACCACTGATGTCACTGTTTTCAACCCATTTTACACACTGGGCCTTTAAAGTAAGCTTACTAAATACTCCACTGACTAACTCTAAATGACTCCCAATACACAGAGTTGAAGAAACTCACTAAGTTAGCAACATTAAGCTTCCAAACAATCTTCCTTGTATCACTTTACAGGAGCTAGTGTTAGACTGGTGTGCACTCCATTCAGGAAGAATATCTTTTTTTAAATTTTTTATTTTATTTATTTAAAAAGGACAATGTACAGCTCAAACATAAATGTCACCATTTGATGCGCCGTACCAGATTATAGCTTCAAGCTAATTCGCGTCTGTAGTCCCTTGGCAGGTCACAGTAAAAAATACAGTACAATAGCAAAACAGATAAAAATAGCATACAAGGATAGACAGAAAATAACAAGCTACCCACACACACACACACACACACACACACTCCAAAAACCAAGTTCTGAAGACCAAGTCAGTGATTACAGAGCTGAACAGCTTTTCACAGATTTTTTAGGTTGATTTTGAAAGTGCTGACAGAGCTGCAGCTCCTCACAACATCAGGCAGGGTGTTCCACTGATTTGTGGCCTTTACAGAAAAAGCTGATTGCCCAGTTACAGAGCGGCGAAATGGTATGGTACAGTCTCGTATGGAGGATATTCTGGAGGATCTGATAGAATTTAACAGGCGAGTATGCACAAAGTCACATAGTGGAGGGGGGCCAAACCATTTAAAATTTTATAAACCACACACAAATTGGAAAATAACCTGAAATTCTCAAAGCTCAATAACTTATATTTCTCCAGTATCCTGCAGCGATGGTGACGCATTGGCTTTTTGTCCAGCCAGCCCTTTTTTTAAAGTTTGTTTGTATAAAGACATGAGAGACCTTAGAGTGGAATCACCAGCCTGCCCCCAGCAGGTGATACAATAAGACATACGAGACAGAATCATGGCATGCATAAATGTCTTGGCTCCATCCAAAGAAAGACAGTTTCTAATATGTCTGAAATTTGCTAGGTTGTATTTTATGGATTTAACCATTTTTTTTAACATCTTTCTTAAAGTTCAAATTTGAGTCCAGAATCACGCCAAGATATTTAAAATCAGTAACTATGTCAATTTGTTTGCCTTTAATTAGATACCAACATTAGGAGGTTGTACCATGGTTTTAGAAAAAAACACACATTTTGTCTTATCTACATTTAAACTCAGACATGATTGATCAAGCCAAAGAGTGATCCTTTCCATCACAGTTGTTAACTGGACAGCTGCTAAGTCAGCTGTTTTAGCATGTACATATACAACAGTGTCATCTGCGTACATCTGTAGGTCTACATCAGCACACTCTTCAGCGAGATCGTTAATATAAAGACTAAATAATAAAGGACCTAAAACTGATCCTTGTGGAACGCCCATAGTGCACTTCATGTAGTTGGACTGTGCATCACACCCTCTAACACATTGCCTCCTGTTTGATAGATATGAGGACATCCAGGCCAGCACTCTAGGAGAAAAATTAAATTTAGTAAGTTTTGATATTAAAACACTGTGACTGACTGTATGGAATGCTTTACGCAGATCTAAGAATACAGCACCAACTACTCCTCCTTTGTCGAGCCTTGATTTAATTTGCTCTATTAAATGCAAGGCAGCAGTCTATGGGGTGAAATTAATGCCAAAACTCCACAAACAGGCAATAGCGTTTCACGCACGTTCACCGTTTCGCAAACAAACTTACTGTGTTTTGCAAATACAAAACACAATTCACAAACTAATGTATTTGTTTTGCAAATAGGAAATTTACCTATCAAACAAATACACCATGCTTCTGACACTAATAATGTTTCTTCAAGAGAAAAACAAAATCCTTCACCTAAAAAAAATACCACTACAAAACAATTTTACCACTACAAAACAATTATACGGCTACAAAACAATTTTACAACCACAAAACAATCCTACAACCAGAAAAAAAATCTACAAAAAAATTTCACGCGCGTAAAACAATCCTACGCCCAGAAAAACAGCCACGTGACTTTTGGCAGTAATATTCCCTCCTGTTTGTTTTTCTCGTGTGCACTCTGATCCACAAACAAATGTCCCGCAATTGGCATTCCACAACACTGGGTGGCGCTGTTGAATCACTATAAGGTCTCCAGCGCCATAGTACCAGAGTGAGACCCGGTCCCGGACCCAAAATGGAGAACCGAGGAGGAGGGAACGAAGCTCAACCTGTAAGTAACGAGTTTGTTTTATTATCCCCTCGTTTTCAATCATGCAACATTATTGAAATATTATGAGGTGGTGCGTTATGCTGCACCAAGAAACATGTGGGAGCGCTTTGTGTTCAATTAGGTCCAGAAGTTGCGCTCCTAGCATTGCAGGCTAACGTTAGCTCTCGGTAGTTTCCCTTTCCATGACTGACGGCGTTGGTAGCTAGACGAAAGGATGGGGTCAGGCTCAGAATAACAATGGTTAGATTGGTATTAGTGTTGTTGATGATGTTTGATCACTTGAACAAGTTGACATAAATATGGGACAGACTGCTTGCTACAGGTGGCTTGGCTGACATTAGCCTTGTGCTTCACGAGTTCAAGTTTAGCCTCCGTGTTTAATTATGTCTTTGTTTAATGAGTCGGTTGTAGTCATAGTAAATGATAATAAATATGTAGGCTCGTTGTGTTATCCTTTTTTTTTTATCTATTTGTT